GTTCTTCTTCTTTTTTTTTAATATTTATTTTTTAGTTGTAGTTGAACACTTTATTTTATTATTTTTATGTGGTATGCACATGCTAGGCAAGCGCTCTATTGCTGAGCCACAACCCCAGCCCTCGTTCTTTTTTCTTTTTGGAGGGGAGATTGAACCTAAGGCTTGGTGTATGTTGGACAAACATCACTTAGCTACAGCCTCAGTCCTTGTAAAATTTTATTTTGAGACAGGGTCTCCCAGGCTAAGTTGTCCTTGAACTTGGGATCCTTTTGCTTCCCCTCCTGAGTAGTAGCTGGGATTACAGGCATACAGCACCATGTTTAACTGAATTTATATATATATATATATGTATATGTGTGTATATATATAGTAGTTGGACACAATAACTTTATTTTATTTATTTATTTTATTTTAAAGAGAGAGTGTGTGTGAGAGAGAAGAGAGAGAGAATTTTAATATTTATTTTTTAGTTTTTGGCCGACACAACATCTTTGTTTGTATGTGGTGCTGAGGATCGAACCCGGGCCGCAGGCATGCTTGAGCCACATCCCCAGCCTCTTTTTATTTATTTTATAATCCCAGCAGCTAGAGAGGCTGAGGCAGGAGGATCACAAATTTAAAGCCAGCCTCAGCAATTTACCAAGGCCCTAAGCAACTGAGACCCTGTCTCAAAATTTAAGTTAAAAAAACAACAGGCTGGGGTGGGGATATAGCTCAGTTGGTAGCGCCCCTGTATTTAATCCCTGGTACCTGGGGGCAGGGGTGGGAGGAATTCATCTTTCCCCTTTATGTGCAGAAAGGAGGAAGTAAACCAGTGCCACCAGTGTTAGAGCCAGGCTCAGTAGTGCAGGCCTGTAATCCTAGTGGCTGTGGAGATTGAGGCAAGAGGATTGCAGGTTGGAAGCCAGCCTCAGCAACTTTGTGAGACTCTGTCTCAAAATAAAAATTGAAAAGCCTGGGGATGTAGCTCAGTGGTAAATCACCCCTAGGATCAATCCCCAGTGCCAAAGGAAAAAAATTAAAAATTAGAAAACAA